TATGGACCTTTCGGCCAGTTGTACCCTATATGACTGCAGCCTAAACTATTATCACGTGGAGCAGAAGAACCTCCCAGCTGAGCCAAATTGACCAATAGAATCACGAGAAACAATAAAATGGTGGTTGTTTTAAGCCACTAAGTTTTGGGTTGGTTTCTTACATAGCAGTTGATAACTGAAACATCTCTCTGCTTCCAGATGCAAAAGATTTTTTTATTTTTAAATCGTGGCAAAATATACATAAGGTAACATTCACCATCTTAACCTTTTTTTTTTTTTTTTTTTTAGAGACAGGGTCTCACTGTGTTGCCCAGGCTGGAGTTCAGTGGCTATTCACAGCGGCTTAGTGCCTCGAACTCCCAGGCTGGAGCTACCCTCCTGCCTCAGGCCTCTGAATGGCTGGGACTACAGGCATACACCACGGTACCCAGCTTCATCTGAACCATTCAAAAAAATTTTTTTATTTTTAATTATTATGATAACAATAGGTGTCTATTCTTTTTTTTTTTTTTTTTTTTCATCCTTTCACCATTATAACGGTACCAGTTCATGTAGCTGTTACGCAGATCACCTTATTCGGTACAACCAAATTTCTTCAGAACTCAGCCTTCCAACCTTTGCAAATCCCTGAACACTATACCATTACAGTGATTCCCATTCCTTCACGCTAACTTTGCTTTTTCTATGAGTTGACTCTTCTAGATACAGAATTATATAGTGGAATGTACACTACTTGTCTATTTTGTGACTGGCTTATCTTCCATTTACGCACGGGTGTCCTCTAAATTCTTCCCATGTTTGTGGGCCTATGATCGGCAACTATCGTTGCTGGGCAGGGCCAAATGGCGGCCAGGCACGCAAAATGGCGCTTTTAGTCTTCGTGAGGAATGGCCAGTGGACGAGACGCAAACAAGAGGCCGGGACTTGGGCACCTTACCTGCGGTAAAGATGGGTAGGCACAGGCCTTGCGGTTGAGGGCACGAGAACACCAGGTTGCAGAGGCCTGAAGCCTGCCGCATCAGTGTTGTGAGCTTGCGAGACTCCATCCCCCGACTACTACAAAAGCAAGTACCCTCCCCTAGAGACAGCACCTTCAGCTTGGCGCTGTCCTCAGACACTTGCTGAGTTTAAGAAGAGAGAATAAAAGGATGTGGAAGAACTGCGCAGAAGTTTGCCCCCCAAGCGATCCTGAGGAGCAGCAGCAAGGCCTGGGCTGCGGCTCCTATTCTCCCTGCGTACTAGCATGGAGGTCTTGTCGCAGCGTGTTGCCCATCGTCAATAAATGCCCTGATTTCCGCCCCTCTGAGCTTCATGGTTTGGCGAATCTCATCTTGTCTTCACAAAAGAGAAGCCGCTTGTTGCTCTAAAGAAGTTGTTCGAGCCCGGGAAAAAAAAAAAAAAAATTAATTTTTTTTTTTTTTATTCCCTTTTCCTTTTTTTTAAGGTAAAAAGTTAATGTTTTTTCCCGTTTTGTTTTTTTATTGGAAAATAACCGCATTTTTTGCTTTATCCATTCTTTCATTCCCATTTGCCCGGGACACTTGGGGTTTCTCGTTATTCCTCTTTTTTGGCTATTGGTTTTTGAGTAAATGCTTTCTTGTTGAAAACAAAATGGGGGGTTACAAAAATCTCCTTTTTTTTTCAAGATGTTCTGCGGAAATTTTTTTTTTCAATTTCTTTTTTTTTTTAAGGCAGATAACCCCAGCACAGTTGAAAAATTGCTTTTGGGTAAAAAATTTTTTTTATACGTCCATTCTATTTTTTTCTTTTCTAAAATTTTTTTTCTTTTGGAGGAACCCTTTTAAAAACCCAAATAACAAATAGACAGACTTTTTTTTTTAAAACAATTGTTAAAAAATTTTATTGGTCAACCTTTTTCCCCTTGCCCTTCAAAAAAATCTTTATCCATGGAACTTTCTCAAAATTTATTGCCTCTCCACCTTTTAAAGATATATATATCCCAAGAATCCAAGGGCCAGGGGCGCGGTGGGGCTTTTTTTTTTTCAACGCCCTGTAGAAATCCCCTAAGCCCCTCTTTCCCTGGGAAGGCCCGAGGCTGGGCAGAATTTTTTGCTTCAAGGTTTCAGGGAAAAAGTTCAAAAAAACCGAGCCTGAAGCAAGAAGCGCGGAAGAAAAACCCCGTTTTTTTCTTTCCTTTACTTGTATTAAAAATACATGAAGAAAAATTTATTAAATTTTCTTTGGGGCGCCAACAATAGAGAAATAATAG